ATAAAGAAATCAGTAAGATAAATAGATGGGAGGAAGAAATAAACGGTGACCATTGAATACCCGGGAAGAACTGCAACCGGTGGTGACTGGGCTAGGAAGAAGTCGTCTGCCGAAGGAAAGAAGAAAGAGAGAAAAGAGAAAGGAAATGAAGAGACTACTTAGGGAAATGAAAGTCTTACCTAAACCAATGCAATTTTTAAATTGTAGGGCCCACCACTTTAAAATTTCTCTTTTAGTAATGTAATGTACGTTTTTTTATTAATATTTCTTTGTTCCAGCTGTATTCTTTGAAAAAAGAAATAGGATTCTTGGGGATGAAGAGGTTCAAGATGAATGATATAATTAATTTCGTTTTACTTTTTGAACTTATGTTATTAAGAAACATGTATGAATTTTATGTCAAGTTTGATTTATATTTATATTTATCATTTAACTATTTATATGTATGATGCAATAAGTATAAAAAATTATTACTTTAGAGTATCAAATTAAAATAAACTAAAAATAATAATATTTTAATCAACGTGTCGACAACGTATCGTGTCGAAACATTTTCAAAAAATCGCGTGTCAACCTGTCCGACACGACCAGTGTCGGTGCTTCTTAGCACTAAAATAAACTAATATTAAAAACTATCTTCATTCCCAATTAGAAACAGAATCAAAGAATAGAGCTTACTTGTCCCTTGAGAATGGAGGCTAGCTTCAACTTTTGTCTAAGCAACTGCAGTCGGTGTCTTTTTCTGGTGACAGTATCACGTAGATCTGAGATTGTTATCCATGCATTCCATAGATTTTTCTGGTATAGAAAAAGATTTAATTTGTAAAATTTTAGAATACCAGGTATGACTCGTATATGCAGTATGAAACATGTTAAAGAGTTCAATGAAGTCCCAGATACCTAGAACTAGACATGCATCTATGCTACTTGCTTGAAAAGGAGAAGCATAAAATATTCTTGCAGATAAAATACAAAAAATGGAAATTCGAAAGTTGCTCAGGAGATCCAGATTTAGATATGAATTGCTTTTGAACATACTGAGCAACGTGCACTCCATAACCTGGTTCTGATCATAGAACTGACAAAAATGAACATGTTCAGTAGTTGTATCGACAACAACAAAATGGACATTGTATGTGGAAGATAAAAGAAAAGTTAGGAATTTCAAGTTTGTCTCACAAAATCAGTACTCAAAAGGAAAAGGAAAACGAAAATAGAAATTCAAGTGGCTAAATCAACAGTCATAATTTATCTTCCAACTTCAAGAATTCGCATCTCACACACACACCATCATATGCATAAAATATAGTCACTCATCTTAACTGGCATCATTTAGTAAGAAATTCTAAACATTAAAGTTCATTATGTTTTGTATATGAAGCTTTTGGCTCAAAGCTTTGTAGCGTTAGTTTAAAGATGCAAAGATTTCCCAAAGTTCTCAGTGCATATGGAATTTTAGTATCATAAAAAAATAAGAAAGAATAACCAAACAGCTTGGCACATTCCCTTCCTATATTTCCCCTTTCCATCTCTCGCCCCCTTTCCCATTTAGGGGGTGTTTGATGCACATTATTGTGAAGAAAATGTATTTTAAATAGAGATGTGATGAAAAATATGTGATTAAAATATAAAGAAAATTTTTGGATGTGATGGAAAATATTATTTTATTGAAGAATGTGTGGTTGAAAATGAGTTTTAAAAGAATGAATTTTGAAAGAATGTGGATCAAACAGGGGCTTAGAAAACATGAAAAATTAAAAAATAATTGCACTAAAATCTTTCAGTAAGTACCATTGTCACATTATATGCTTTTTACTTGACTCCGGTATTTTAATATCTACCTAAATCAATGTAATAAAATCTGAAGCACTGACCCTAACACATTTTGATAGCAATTTAATGCTTTAAAACTCTGAATCTATAAATTCCATTCGTACAACATTGAGGTTTTGGCTTTTCGATTTTCTTACACTCATTTCATCATCAGAAATTTATATAACTAGTTAATATTCCTTTCACAATCAATAACATTTAAAACAACTGTAACTTGAAAACAAATTCTGAGGATGATTTTGGCAATCATTTGTTGTCGTTCGAACTAGAACTATGTCAAGTGATAGGTCCAATGAAATCAATTTTTTCTCAACCAATTGTGCTATGTTAAGCTTGATCTACCTCTCCCTCCTCCACCTTCTTCAACTAGATTCACATCATTTCTTAGCATTGGGAGTTCACTTAAGAATAGAGAAACTCAATCATCTAGTCATATTTCCTTAATTTATTATCAATTGATTGTCCCACCTCCACTTGGTGAATATTTTATTTCATATGCCTTTGAAGCCAAAGGTGTCAGCATGTGAAGGTGGACAATGTGCTCCAGGGAATTTGGTATTATACCTATTCTAATATGGCCATACATCTGCCCTCATAACATCCTCATTCTGCTACAATCATGTTATCTAACCAATTTATACCATGTTCACTTAGCCCCTGTTTTGCCCCCATTTTCTAAAATTCTTTTTTTACCTAAATTCATTTTTGATCACTCATTTCACGAGTCTCACAATTCAACCACTCATTTTAAAAACTAAAATCTAGTTTTTAGCTAAACCAAACAAGGCTTAATTTATTCTCAGTTTGAGCCACCTCCACTTGGTGATGCATATTGTAATTCATAATTTCTTTCGAATCTATCATAACATCATTATTTTTGCTACAAGATGAAATTAACTGTTGAGAGCTGATCGTGTTTAATGAAACGATTAGAACTTTTTCTTCTAATATTATGTTCAAGCATTCCTTCTCAAACTCTTCCAAATTCTTCACTACAATACTCCATCTCTTTCACTTAGAATGAAGGCTAGGACTAAAAACCTTATCTCCACTCTAGATTTAAGCCCACTTTCAGCTGTCAAGGGTTCAAGTACTTAACTAATCAGAACGAAAAGGCATCATCCTCTAGCCTATTAGAATTTTCTGTTCTCCATTTTTCTTTCTGATAAGTAACCTAACACAAGAATTCATAAAAACAGGCATTTGCAATTGCTTTCAGATCTATCTGGGATCAATATAATTAATTTTCAACTCAGTATTGAACTTTCTCTCAGCTTTCCCTGCAATTGTTGGCTAATATTTTTCACTCACTGGAAAAGTTGTGTTTTCCGACAAAATGTTAGGAGTACAAGGCAAACAAGCTTTCTCATTTGACCACGTAAAGAAAATGACTAAAATCGCAATCAGAAAAATCATTATAAACACTTGTTACATGTGCATAATTCTGAAATCTGAAATGTTAAAGGAAAAGTCCGTAGGATAAGAAATCTAAGTAACCAACTATAATCTACACGCACGTTATTTCTATGGACAATATATTTCTTCATCTCAAAGACTTCCCTTTCCCAAACACCATATTACACACTAATATCATCACTAAAATTTCCAGACAAAATAAATGTCTTTATAGTTTCAAATCGGCCCTGCGAAGGATCACATAGAGCGTGTAAAGAGAAGGAACATAGTTATATGTAGGGGAATGTATCCTTGTGAGAAGTTGTGTACTAAGCTCATCAGCTTATACTGGCCCTAAGTTTAATCATACGTCTGTCACATTCGTATCTTAAATGTTATCTGTAGGAACACCAAAATAAGGAAAGGGTCTTAAATGCTGATAGGAGCTTCCAACGGCTGGAAAGAAATAAACTCACTTGGTCAACCATGAATGTAAAGTGTTTCGAGAATAACTTTTGTCACAAACTAATATCTCGATCATCATTCTTAAAAAGGCATATGCAGATTATTGTTAAAGATGTTCAAGGTAAGAAGTTTAATTCTAAAGTAAGATTCTCACCTCTGCATTGTGTCTCTGCACCAGCAAGATCACTTCAGTCCTAGCATTGGCAAAACGCCACTGGAGGTGCCGATTATACAGAAGCCTCAAAAAGTGTGCATCAGCAATATTGTTTTCACCTACTTTCCCTCTCCGAACATCAACAGAAAAACTAAGAACTGATGGGGTCTCGTTGAAATTATTAGTAATGGTGCTAACAGCATTTCTGACACGAGATGGACTAATTCCCCAGGATGGAGATGATCCCACAGGTGTTATAAGCTTGCTCGGAGATGCAGGTCTAATACCTCCACGAATAGGGGATGACAACGGACCATCACTTGCATACTTTTTCAACTTTGGAGGCACAATTAGTTTTGAACTGGGATTTGTTGATAAAGGAGAGCCTGGATCCTGCAACCTCCTCAACCGACTATTGGTTTCTTGCCAAAACCTAGCCGAATTAACAATTCCACGGGGAGCACTTCTTCCACGGAAATCCCCTCCACTTTCTTGAACTCCAGATGTACTACCAGAAGAGACACTGTCTGAATCAGATGCAGTGAGATCAGATGGTACAGATGACTCGTTATTAGCCAAATTCCTATCTATAACTTGTTGAGCTGTCTTTAAAAGATCTGAATAGCACAAATCAAGATTCAACCTGCCATCAAGTGATGCCCTCCTCTCATCAATCATAGATTGTTGCAATGCTCGAACCACATTCCCAGATCCAATGAGCGTACTCCTCTCTACACTACCGCTGCTACAATTCAAACTCCTCGACAATGGATTCACCAGCCGGTTCTTTGTCAGCCACCTATGCTGATCAACATTCTTAGAATTCTCTACTTGATCTCCTCCCCTCTCAGCCTTTCCTCTCAATGGAGTAGCACTCCTCTCCGGAGTACCCTTCCTCACACTACTCAAATTAGGTGCAGGCGGGGCAACCTTACTCTTAGAATTCTCTACTTGATCTCCTCCCCTGTCACCCTTTCCTCTCAATGGAGTACCACTTCTCCTCCTCTCTGGCGTACCCTTCCTCACACTAATCAAATTAGGTGAAGGCGGGGCAACCTTACTCTTACTAAAGGGTAGAGAAAAGGCTTCGCCTTGAAAGGAAACTGATAAACTCCGAGTAGAAGTGACCAGCAACTTAGCGGCTGTTGAAACTTCAGTCAAATTCCCATGCTTGGAATCAAGATCAGGTGCTAAAGGCCTGGCAGCCACGGGCCGCCTCCGGTCTGCGCACACGGACCTCTTGGGGCATAAAGAAGGAATCCTTGACACTGGGGTCAAGTTTCTTGAAACTAAAGGAGAGGGATACCTTCCAGAAGAAGAGGAAGATGAGGAAACTGAGGAGGAATATGAAGTGGACGTGGAAGTTGAAGGGGACATGTATCTTGAAGAAACAATTCTTGATTTGGGCCTCCTGGGATTGTTTGAAACCCCATTACAATCATCTTTTTCGGAAGACAATAATGGAGGTCTTCTTGAAGCTATGATTTTGGGGTTTTCAGAAACAGCAGCCACCATCTTCACAACCAAGAAAGTACATACACACACATACAGAATAAAAAATGGAAATTCACCTCTCTCATTGTACTTTCAAACCAAAATAATCTTACCTAGAAGCCCTTTTATCGTCACCATACGCAAACCTGCAAGAAAAATCAAGAAATCCCACTGTAACTCAAGAAACCATAATGGGTCTTTGCAAGATTCCACATTTTCCCAAGATTTCTTGGTATAAATGTAGTGTATTACAGTTCAGCTAATTTCCCTAAAAAATCTGAAAAAAAAAAGTTGTTATTTTCCGGCCAGAATTAAGAGAGAGAGAGGAACAGAAATGGTGTTGTGGGGAGTTGAGATTTGGGGGCACAGAGTTTTTCGTACTAGGAGTGGCCAGTGGGCACTGGGTAAAGGGGTGAACTTTGGATAGTCCTTGCGCGAACCAATGTTACAACTTTTCATTTTTAATAATTTTTTAATGGTTTTAGTTATTTTTAATTTTTAAATTTAATTATTTTAATGATGAGAAAATTACATAACTGCTTGCATTTGTTTGTTCCAAACTCGTTGATGGACTGTCTCAACTGTTAACTACTCATTATTAGCCCCCACAAAATTTATAACTTAATCTAACTATGAAAGTTAATTATATGATAATAATAAAAATAATTATAGTTTTATTGTATATTAAAGTTGACTATCTAGTTTTTTTATTTATTATATACACGTATGATATATATTACATTTATGTACCCAGGGGCGGAGCCCGAATTTAATGGTACGAGGGGCAAAAATTTTCAACTGTGGGCTACTGGGCTTGAATGGTGGAAAAACAATGGATATAACAAAAAAAAAAATTATTTTTTAAAGGGGGTGGGCTACAGCCGACCCCTACCTCCGCCAGTGTATGTACCCAAACAAGATATACAATCATGCTACTTGTACAATTTTCTTTACAACTACACGCTTGACAGACATCTCATCCATTCATTTTAAAAATTATCTTTTAAGAGCCTTGTTATGGGTACATCATCCCTTACAGAATGGGTGACATAATGCACAAGTGGCTCCTCTGTATTTATGTCACCCCTTGTGTAAGGGGTGATATACAAGTAGCACAATTCATCTTTTAAATTAACGGCATAACAAACTAGTTGTACAACTAGATTAATTGAAAGATATATTAATTTATTTAAAAATTTTAATAAAATTAATCTTTCGACTGAAGAGATAAGATATCAGTAAGAACCGGCACAACTACAAAAATGGAGGTCAAAATAGATCACCATAAAATTTGTTGAGATCTGATGATTACCAATTACAGTACCAAATAAGAAAATATATATTGTTATAACATAGATTTCGGTCCTTAAGAGGTAGCTTTATTGAGCTTCAATCTTAACGTGACTTGTTTTATTTCTCTATTCACGATGTAGTCGAGGACAACAGCCTACCAGCTATGAAAGCTCATTGCCCTTGGTTTAATTGAAATGGCTTTAACTTGCTAAGACTACAAATAAGCATACATAAATATAATATACGAATGTAATATGTTATTAAATTTGATCTGTCTCTAATTATTAAATAATTTTACACGTAAATTCTAATATTTATTTTTTTATTACACATCCTTCCAATAAGAAGGGTACAATTCCGTGTTAATAATCACATGGTCATTTTTCGACCAAAGTTGGTGTCGAGAAATTTGCAAAAGTGGACTCACGGAACAAAAGTCACTAAATCTTCCACTTATAACTTTGTCGTTATTTGGTTTACTATGGGATGCGACGCCCCTTTCAGTGACTCAGTCTCTAGTCCCCCACCCCCCTTGCGTTTGAAGCAAATTTGTGCATTTATTTATTTATTATTATTTATTTTTTTGGTGCAAAAAGAAAGGAGGATCAACGCTTCCATTATATTTTGGATGCTAAAGTCAACAAATATGTATTTGATAATACTTTATATTGTGTCCACAAATTACAGAGGATTGATCGTCTTATTTATGCACAATGAGTTATCAAGATCGACAACGTGATAGTAGAGCAATTTGGTATTGTTAATTAGATACTGTCTTCGGACATAATATATCGATGCTTGATAGCATGATCTACTAGCTGGTCGTTTATCAACGTATCTTTGACCCATTTGTTGGGTCTTTTAAGGAGAGGATTAATTAGTTCGATCAGACGTGAACTCGTGTTTATTATATTATTTCGTACATAACAAGTTTGAAGAGTGAATGATAAGGTAAAATTAATGTTTATTGTGTTTTCTAAAGATGTAATAATAAATGTAACAATGAACCAAATGAATTAATGAAAAAGATCTAAAAATCCATCTCCAAATAATAATAAACAAAAAATTGTACATTGTGAATAAGTTTTAAATCCTTGACTTGACATGCAAACTTTTGTCCTCACTGGCAATTTCTGAATCTTTTGTCGAGAACAACACAGATAGAACACGGCAATACACGTTTTTAGTTTTCAATTACAAATTGCAAGTATGCCACTGTTTCGTTTGGCTTGGCTTAAAATTCATTTTTAATAGATTTTGATAAAATGTATAGTTGAAAAGCTGATGAAATATTGTGAATCTTATGAAATATATGGTTAAAATTAAAAAATATATATATGTTAGAAAATGAGGACCAAACAAGGCGATAATTCAAAAGAAAATCCTGTCTTAATTAATATATATTGAATTGTATATATGTATGCATGTATGTATAAATTATCATCTCATTCATCAATATCAATTGTAATAGGAGTTGAATCCGTTAAAACAATTCAAGATTACACACCTAAATTGCCGAGGCTCGAGTAACTGAATGAATCATAGGACACTTAGGCTCCGAGTTCAACGAGAGCTCCAAATTTTCGAGTTTAGCAGTAGTTCATCAATGATTGATGATAAGTCATCAGGGGACGATATACACAATTACAAACTGATTAATGATTCATCATTAACTAACAAACATATCGTTTCAATGCAATCCTTTCTCTAAGCTCACATATATAAACTTGATCATGTCACACTTAGTAATCAATCCAAAAGATCATTTCGAGCATAGAGATCCACTACCTTGCATTCTTGAGCTCACTGAGTCGTTAGAAACTCAAAATATAACTCAGTATTTCGAGTGATTTATATTTAGAGAAAATTATCAAGTAGGCATAAGAGTTACTTCAAATAGCCTAAGCGAGGAACATCCGCAGATTTGGAATGCAAGCATCGTATAACTCAACTAATGAACAGATCCAGCCCAACAACCTCATTTACTACCCAATTCAAAATCCTAGTGCAACTCTACCAAAATGTTTTTAAATCCTACAGCAAATGCAATCGATTTAAGTATAAAAAGATCTTCAGTCACCCATTTCTTTTCATTTTCCAGTAATCAAGCAGTCTCATTGTACCTTATCTCATAGATTCTAACAAAAAATTACATTTTCACAATCATATATTATGAACATAAATACCATTGTTACAAAAATACTCCGATCCTACTGGTTAGACGAGAAAAATATGCCAATAAAAACCGGCGACATAGCAAATTCTCGAAGACCCATTGAACCATTCCTGGTTTGACCGGCTTTAAAGGTCTTGAGTTTTCTTATAAAAATATTTATTTTTATCAAATGGCTAAATGTTATCGCGTTAAGGACTCAGCATTTACGGAGCCAATTTATAGGCTTGCCAATCTTCCATGAGCAATGTCATTTATCACTCGCCTCTCTCTCTCTCATAAGAAATGAACCGTTCAATCTCAACATTCCAAATAGACTGTCATGTTATCGATGTTCCATGATCATAATGATAAATATTATTATTATTCATCTTTCATATCCATCCATTTCTTTCAATATGGAATAGCTATTAGTCTATTACCAATTAGTTTACAAATATAAACCGTACAACTAGGAGGAGAGAAGGAGGAATCCCGTGGAAATAATAGCACGCTTTACTATAATTTATTAAGAATTAATAAAGTTAATACAATCTTAAAATATATTTTTGTACTTATTTATTTCATAATTATTAAGAATTAGTATAAAATAAATACAAAAAAAAAGTAAAAAATTTGAAACATGATAAATAGTAGTAAGCAGAGCCATGATGGGTTTAAATTATAAAATGGGTTTGGTGGTTGCAATATTGGAAGGCATGTGACTTAAAGTACACCCTAATAGTTAATTAGTTCCAAAGTAATACATCCATCAAGATAGTGGCGTTTCTTAAATAAGCAATTAGGTAACCCAATCTCTAAGTGATCTCGCGTGTCATCTCAAGTCCTTTTTAAGTCTTAACAACTTTGCCTCTCCGTCGCCAACGTGGCCGTAAAAATGTAAAATACAACGATTTAAAGCACATTAAGAGCCTATTTGAGCCCCCTTTTTGACAAAAAATGTATTTTGGAATAATGATTCGATGAAGAGTAATATCATTTTTTGAATAATGTGTGATTGAAATTAAGATAGAGAAGAATGTATTTTTAAAATAATGGGTACACAACAGATAAATGAAATGGACAATTAACAATCAATATTGTTCGAGCTTATGTTTTGCATAGTAGCATCTTATTATTGGATTTGCATAGTATCTTTCACGCATGCTGTTCACAGACATTCTACAATTCGTATTTTAATACACGTATTAGGCTTATGTTTGGTATAGATTGTTTTTTGTACATCATTAGTGTGTCCCATAGAATGAGATTAAAAAGTTGAAAAGAACATTTAACCCCATCAATCATTACAAAGAAAAACTGGGGAAAAGTAATATTTTAAAAAGCGAATTTTCTTTTTAAGAATGTACAATTGAATCTTTGTTTGAGCCACATTGAAATTTTCATTCTCATTTTTCTACTCAGAGTTTGTTCAATGGATATTATTGAGAAATGAATGTATTTTAAGTAGTGATATGATGGAAAATATATTGTTAAAAAGTAAGAAAACATTATTGATATGATAAAAAAATTATTTTATTGAATAATATGTTTTTAAAAATGAATTTTAAAAGAA